AAAATTGCTATATTTCCTCGGAGAGTGGGAATTTCTAAACAAGCTTTTCATATTTAGAAAGGAGAGATTCTGATCAATCGAATGACGTATAAACATGAATATATTTCTGGGCAAACCTGAGAAGACGGTTGGCTTGAATGTATCAAACTTAAATTTCTATACTTTTGCAAAATTGCCGTTAGGCAAAGTCCGTTAGGTAAAGTGTTCATGAATATCTTCACTTCAGTGAGTCGATCTCTGAGAACAATCTTTAAACTGAGAACGGTTTCTCATAAGATTTTTCAAAATTTACCCGATTGCGCATGATTTGTCATGAAATGTGGTTTGCAGTATCTCAAATACTTCCATTGCTTGATTGTGCTTCAATCGCACCCATCGTCGATCTCTTCTCTCCATTCCTTTATGTGTCTATTACGTGCTCTCCTCTGTTTCGAGAGGTGTGAAAACCGCTGACGCGTCGCTCTCTCTCTATCTTCATGCTGCCCTGGTACACGCCCATTGCTTAATTCAGACGACGGGCGGCGCTAGTGCCAAGCGGATTTTTTGGTGGCCACCAACTGAGCCACAATATGGGTGGCCACATGCGAGGCAAATTTCAGACGTTAGTAGATCATCGCTGATAGCCATCAAAGCTCGGTCTTAGTTTACCAATCCCGGCTCTTTTTTTTCAGTGTTTCTGGGCTCGGAGCCACAGACTTCAAATCGTAGTTGGGAGCGCGTGCTTTCCTATAGAGGCGTTCGATGTATTTTCATCTATAATTCTTTCTAAAAGCTGCAAGTGATTGCTGTCTCTGGCATCATCTCTACTTTTAAGTCAATTTCTCACGAGATTCCCTGTAGGCGAGGCATGTCTTATGCGTATATAAGATGTGCCTTCTTTATCTTTTTTCTCCTGTTTGGTTTTCTTCAAATTTCATAGATCCTTGCTATTATTAAACGACAGAGAATTGTTGAAGGTTTAAAGTTCAAATCACAGTAAGCAACAAAGGCTGTTGAGGATTTGTCTCATGGAGAGCGGGTCGATCTGGAATGTGAGGGATGAGTGAGTGAATAACGAACCATTGCGAAAATCCTGATCATTCTTGGACAATAACGTAAGTTTTCACTTCTCATTTTACTGATTGGTTCAGTTCGAACGGGTACATTACTTTCCAATATTTCAATTCAGATATGGCAGCAGCTGTGTTGGCTGAATAATTTTAAATTTTAGTTGCTGGTTTCCTTAACTTGAATGATTTTTAGACTGATAATCATCTGTACCTCTGTATTTTATTGGATACTATAAACACTGTATTGGAATTGATCGAGAGTGGTGGCAGAATAATCATGAGAGGTTTTTCATCGGTACAGTCAGTCAGTTTCAATCAGGTATTCTCATTAGATTTATTTTATTTATTCCATCTACGCATTTCGTTCGGCTATTCATTTATTTATTGGTTAGTGAAAAATGAAAATTTCCCTCATATTTACGTTCGTTTCAACGTGTGAAAATTTTTAGGATTTTGGATGTTTTGCATGTGGCTTGGAGAGTGGCTTTCGTTTGTTCAATGTAGATCCTCTGAAGTCAACGTATGGAGAGAAATTGGATGGTGGGATCGCAAAAGTTGAAATGTTATTTCGTTGCAATTATGTGGCTCTGATTGGTAATGGTACGAAAGCATCATTTCCCAGCAATGCGGGTGAATTTGCAAAGCATTAAAGTGTTTCGATACAGTCCGTTCATTTTTTTCTCTTGAATTCAATCAGCAGTTGCAGTAGCTTATTACGAGCACATTAGTACCATTATGTTATCATCAGATATCGCAAATATCAGCACAAAGCTTTTTTTATTTGTTTCAAAATATGACATTCGATAGCTTTTGAAATCAACTATCGTCCCTTGTGTCAATCATTTAGAGATAACCTGAGTGGTTTGAGTGTGCAATTTGAACTAGAATTGTTGAGCGCAATATTGTCCAATTGCCATTTATACTATTCGTAACTGTGTTGTGTGTTTCATGTGATTGTTACGCAAAAATGCGTTATAAAACAATAACCATCTTACAGTATCATTTAATAATAGGCATTTTTCAATCATTATATAGAATGCAGTGTTTAGTTGTGGTTTGGGATATTGCGAATCGCAGCGAAGTGACACGAATTGAGATGAATGCCGATGTGAACGGCGTACGATTACGTCGTGATAGAATTGTGATTATTTTAGAAACCAAAATTCATGTGTTCAGGTGAATTTGGATTCATTGTTCTTTTACGTGTGATCATTATTTTTTAAATTATTATTTTTTTTAATCATTGAAATTGGGCATGTGTTATTATTCACGTAATTAGCCATCATAATCCTCTAAGTAGTGATAATTTTTAGTTTTACGGACTCGCCCAGTCAGTTGCATGTGTTCGATACGAGCCAGAATCCACGTGCAATCTGCTGTTTATGTCCTTCATCGAATAATTCATTACTGGTATTCCCATCACCCACCTCTCCTTCCGTTGTAATGTGTGTGAATCTGGCAGATCCCGATGCACCAGCAAAAACTATCACTGCTCATATGAGACCTTTGGCCACAATTGCATTAAATTCCGACGGTATCTCTTTTCTTTAAATTATTAACATTGTTTATTTATTTAATCAGGAATTATTATTGTTTTCAATCAGGAATTATTATTATTATTATTATTATTGCTGCTATTATTAATATCATTATCACTATTACTATTGTCATTATTATTACTTCTATCTACGATACTATTACTTATTAGTTTAGTGCTAATAGGTTATTTAAAGGAACGCAAATCGCAACTGCATCCGAAAAGGGCACAATAATACGAGTTTTTGACACGTCCTGTGGAACCATGCTTCGTCAACTACGCAGGGGCACTAATCCAGCAATAATTTTTTGGTTAGTTGACGTCATTATGTTATGCTTATTGTTATTATATTATTATTGTTATTAATGCTATCAAATTCACTGCTGATGTAATGATCAATAATGAACTGGAATCTGAAGCTAATTATTTGCTGCAACTAAACCAGTTTCTTTTCAGTTTAAATTTCTCACCTGATTCATCAATGTTATGCGTTTCGAGCAATCACAATACGGTGCATTTATTTGATTTAAATGATGAAGAGAAGCGTAAGAAAACGTAAATTTTGTATCATTTTTTACTTTATTATTGATGTCATTATTCCTGTTGCTCTTATTGTTATTTTTAGTATTACTTAGTCATTTTGATCGTTTATTTCATTCAGTTACTCATTATTGTCGTCGTTATTGTTATCCGTGAAAGAAATTGAAATTATGCTTCAGGCCTTTGCGTAGGCTAACATTGCCCGGTTCGGTAAGTTTCTCAAGATTCCAGTTGCCGTTTTCAACAAAAAAGAACGAACAGTGCATTTGTGCATTCAGTTCGCAGGCTGAATCTGTTATAGGTATGTATTAGTTTATGCGACGAAATGCTTGAATTACTCTCTTATCAATTCTAAATTGTTGACGTCAATTAAGCGAGAATGATGTCTTTCAGCTATTTCGTCGAATGGTTGTTATTGCAAATTCAATTTCGATCGAAATCACGGCGATTGTATGCGTCAAACGTGTGTCATTTATTTGGAAATGAACGAATAAATTGTGCTGGATAGAAAAATGTTAATGAAGAAAATTTCGAATGGTTTGCTACAATTCTTACACTTCCAAAATAGCAATTACTATTAGTATCAACACTCGACAATGTCAGTGTTTGTTTATTTTTTAGGAAATGTTACGTAATAATTGATGATTGTTCTCTTTTTGCGCATAATGCATGATTCAGTCGCTCTTGGTTTGTTTCATCCATTCAGTTTTGCTTCATTAAATTCTTACGTAAATTTGCACTCGTTCATTTCTGATGCGATGAATGAAAAGTGCATGTATTGCCAGTGTCAAATCGAGCTCAAGCCAGCGGTATGCAGTGATGATTCGATTGTTGTTTGTGTATGTCAAATCATGCTCTATATAACGATAAAATTTCGATTATTTCCTCATTGACAGTCGATGTATGATTGAATTTTTGCTTAAAAATGTGTACAATCACTCGTAAAGCAACACCATTCATAATTTTCTCTTCTGTTCTTTTCACTTTGTTTATTCCCATAAGATCGTCGTAATATTTCGATGTTAATGTGGAACTATGTGGAGCTCAAGAACTGTGATGAAACATGTTTGTGATTTATTGTGGTATAAATCGATGAATGAATCATACCGCGTTATTTTTTCACTATTATGTGATGCATTCTCGTACGTTATGTATAATAGTTGTTCACGAATTTATTCATTTGCCTATCATTCTCTTTTTTTTCGTTCGTTTTCATTTTGTCGCCTGTTCAAGTAAGAAACTTTATTCTCGACAGTACTTTAACTAAATTGAAACAATCATTTCAGTCTCAATCGCATAATATTGAATATGATTTTGGATTCTTCATAAACACTTTGGTTGTTTATTGTAAACGTTGTACACATAAGCACGTAAATCTTGCCTGTTCGTTTCAACAATTTCACTGTTGCAAATTTTCGAATATGAATAACGTTCGTCGAGGTATTCCTTCCCAACTCCCTCCCCCTTCCTCTGCAGTTTTACTCTCCAATTTTTGATTTATGTCCACTTACGACGGCCGCTCCACAACATCATCGCCGTGCCTCTCAGCACGATCCAAGGATTGCTTCCGAGCATGACCCTGGCGAAGTCTATTTTGTAGAGAATCCCTTTTAAAATTCGTTCAATGGGTTTTCTATTTGAGTTCTTTAGGTCAAACAAAATTTAAGTAGGCGGTCGAAAACCCGATTCATAAATCGGTGGGATTACTGCAGTTGGCCTGAATGCTTGCCTGTTGCGTATTGCGTACTTTCTTTGCGTATTGCAATAGTTTCTGCGTGGTCTTGTTCATTTAGATCACATGTTATTTCAAATGTGCGAGTTTCATAGCATGATTTTGATAAGTCATAAATGAGTTGTCATTGTTAATAACATTATTCTTAATGTGACTATTATTTTGTAATGCGTAATGTGATATCTAATCAAATAAAAACCTAATGATCCACAACTTCCACTTCAGCAGTATAATATTAATTCGAGAGCACAGTGATGGGTTTGGTGCAATATCGTTGCAACAGTGCAAATGATTGGTTTAGACAAAATTATTTATTTCACCAACAACATTATCGAATTTTGCAAAGCCTAATATGATACGACGATAGAGAATGAATATTGTTCATTTATTATAATTATCCAAGCATAATCTTTCGTAACTTATAGTCAGATGATGTCGAAGGCCACTCGTCGTTAATGCCTTCAGAATCAGATGATTCTGAATGGGCATATGCTGGACTCACAGAGGAGCATCGTGGAGAACTGCGGTATTCTTCATTTTATCGTTTTATTGGAATTAAATGTATTTGATATACATAATCAGTCAGGTTTTTCGTTCAAATCGATTAGAAATGATTGTAATAAGCATAATACTGATTGATAATATTGATAAGAATGGTAAGATGAGAACGGAATGTAAACATACCATAAATATTGCAGTAATGGTACTCGGTATTTACCACAAAAGTCAACAAATTTGATATGTTCAATACATGCATCAAAATAAACCCCTTTGCATTTAGGATTCACGCATTGTGATGCATTTGAAATATATTCATTCAAAGTGTATGGTAATATTAATCGATAAATTTGCTGTGGAATTTTCATTTTCACAATGCGAGCCGAGAGCTCTTTCAATGATGATGCATCAAAACTCATATCACGCACGAATTGGTTTACTGAAAATGAGAATTTTCGCATTTATTGCTTGTAATAATTATTGTTCCTGGCCAGCAACATTACAAATATTTGACAAACTAGCCAGTCCAGGTAATCCAATTAATTATTCGTTATTCTAATCAGCTATACTATTGTTGTAAAATTATGATAATCATTACGAACATCACAGAAAATGAATAAACACTGCTAAAAAAGGTCCTCACCAAGTGGATTATTCCTCAGGCTGAGGTGTTCTAAGTTGCGTAAACGTACAATTTCAATCGGTAGTGTCTATAATATGCATACAATAGACTGTTGTGATAATAATATGAACAATAATTGTTATTAGGACAATCGTTGAAGCTCATTGTGAGTAGCCAAGTGAGGTTATTCTCACATAGTAAGAATTCTTTCTTATAATGACCACACATTTCACAGCTTAATAAACGTTCGTGAAGTGCATCAGTTCTATGCGTAATCGCTTTTATATTCAGAAAAACAAATTTGAGGCGATCCATAATTGGGAATAATTATAGGCTTTAATCGAGGAATGCATGAAATCTTTTAAATGAAATATTATTATAATGATGTCAGTAGGAACCTAGCAGTAATGATCGAAAAAAACCGACCGTCAATAGATTGCTATGAAGTGCGAGTGTACTTAATGCTTGTAAGTCGGCGATAGTTGTTGGAATTGACTCCAATTGATTATCGCATAATGATAAAGCAGTCAAATTGAGTAAACGCCCTATTGTAGCTGGTATCTCTCGCAAACGATTACCGCCTAGATATAAAATATTTAAACTGAAAATATCTTTATGAACTGGTTGCTTGCATTTTATAAGACATCAACTCATATGCATGCATGCAATCGCTCTCCACTTGAGGCAACTTCAAGAAATTTGTTTTAAAACAATCATAACCTCAGACTTATTTTGCAGTTTCAACATTCAATTTTATACAACGATTATTATTATTATTATTATCCTGATTTGATTATTGATGAATGTATTGTTATCATGTTGTTGTTCTTCATCCAACCTGAAATTAGTTGGAATCCCGCCCTCGGAGGAAAGTTTGTTCGAGAGTAAATGGTGTGTCGCTGTTGTTATTGTTATTTGTATAAATAGTCACATTGATGAAAGTTATCGATCACTTCACTAAATAAAATGAACGCACCTTATCAGTGAGCCGATAGCATTTGGGATTTGTTGAATGCGATTCGCACCCAAATAAAGCGCACGAATTGTGCTTAGTTCGAATATTGTCGCTGGTATCTGTGTGAAATGATTACCGGACAGATTGATCGATTGCAGTCGATTGAGTTGAGCAAATGACTTGGGCAGAGTCTCGAGTAAGTTGTTACGCACATCCAAATAGCGTAACTGTTTTAAGTTGCCCAATTGTTCGGGTAGATTTGTTAAAACGTTACCGCATAAACTGAGACTGAAAGATAAAATGAAATCATTGTCAGCAATTGTTGTTGATGCGACTCGTTAATCCATTGTTCTTTAAAAATTTAATGTTCACTGAGTTATTGTTTCTGGATTTTTGAAGGATACAGTCGGGATCATATCAAAAGTTTACGCGATTAAATGAAAAGAATAAAAGAAATATACAAAACCTATTAAGATTTGAGAATATGCTTATTTCAGATGGTAACTGCATAATACGGTTACCACCCAGTGCGATATTATGCACCGTTTCGGGCGCCTCCATCAACAAATAGTATTCAGGAAGTGTTTCAATGCCACTTTCTTGGAGATTGATTTCGATTTGAGTTGAACTGAAACTCAGCGATAGATTGGCTGGTGTTCATTTTGACCTGATGATCTGATCAATTTGTTAATTCATCTAGATATAATATTGATGCTTTCATCGACAATACCTGCTTGGTAACGATTCTTGTATATGTTCATCAACTGAAATTTCTAATTCGTCGTTATCAATACGATGCTGATGATGATTCTGGCGCTGTGGTTGACGAAAATGGTATGCCATATCTTGTTTCGGTGATAATTACCCAAGAGAGATAAATATATTATGACCACAACAAATAGTCACACTTGATGGAATTGATCGGTCGATTGATTATGTCCAATATTATATCTCAAAGTGATATTATTGATTATTCAGATGGACCAATAATTATTGATCATAATGCACTTCGCATCCATTAAAATGATGAACATTTATTATTGTTGATGTGTGAGGGAGTATTCGTTGACTTATCGACCAATCGGCGAACGCACTGAGCATGGACGACGATGTATTTGATAAGAACAACTAATAAAGAAAAAAAGCATAAAATTATGCCCGGTGAATTTGCGCATGGTTGACCGGCTGATTGTTGTGCTCATTTTCGTCGCATATGTACATATTTGAAAGCATGTTAAATGTGATACGCACAGAATGCTTCATAGCCCTGGTAATATGATAATGTTAAGTATATCTATCGTATACGACTGTGATGATGAACTGGAGAACTGATGTGAGTGTAAATTGTTCAAAAATGCGATTGTTTAATTGAAAACTAAAGTCATACTAACGTCTTCAGATGAGCTGTGGCATCATCATGAGTATCGATAATATTGATAGTTAAAGGGATTAATGATTCAGAAATGCTAGAAAAAGTGAATGCTAAACATGTGATGAAACGAAAATGTTAACAAGATCAGTAGCAAATAGCAAAATACATCATTAGACGGACAAATACAAAACTGAAGGCAAAATGCTAGCTAGTTATCTGATAATAGCAATTTCTTTTTTGCATTGTTAATAATAAGTGGATAAACGGAACGTATGAGGAAATGCGACCGAAACAAGAAATGAAATGTGTGATGGTGATTCTTGAGTATGGAAATTAGAGAAGCCGGTAATTTCTTAACGCTGATAATGATGATAATTGGTTTGTTAGATGAAGGCGAGCAATGAACATAATAATAAGTGCTGAGTCCTGCCTGACTGATAATCGATAGATGGAGAGATACAGTACGGTGCACAGTAGTATAAAAATTCAAATTAAAAATGGTAAGAAAATGCGATAGCGATGATAATGATAATCAAAATGAATTTGTGTGATAAAACCGATTCATGTTGTGTCAAATGGAATCAGATCCATCTCCAACGTGATATTAGTGATGAACGCAGAGATCCATAAAATTTATGATGATATTGGCTTTAAACCATATTCCCAGCTGAATTAACATTCTTTGACAATGTTTTAGTGTGTCATGTAATGTAAGTATGTGTTTATGAACAATAAACTGGTATCCATCATCGCATGTGATTTTCATATGAACACGATAAAACATGCTTCGTGGCGGTGTGATGATTGGTTGTGCGAAACATGGAGACGTTCATTTATCACAAGACGGTAGTACGCAGATGGGATCAAAGAACTGAAGAAAAAGAATTCGAATAATCATCGTTTCTATCAGCGTAACGACTGCATTGATTATTACCGATATTATTCTATTTTTGTTTTTAAAAAACTAGAAATGGACGCAAATTGTGAATGAGCAGCGAGCTTTTCACGGATACATTGCAACATTGACACAGTTCAGCATGACAATTCAAGTTTATTGTTTATTCGCTTAGTGGTAGCCAATTGGCATTGAATAACTGATGTAACATTGATTGAGATTGCATTGAATAAATGATGTAATAGCAAATTGTAATAAACACGGACTGACTGCACTCGAAAGTATCTGCATGCGTACTGCCAACAATGAGTACATAAGTATAAGTCACAAATAAAATTGAAGTCCAGGCTGGTGACTGGCGCTAAGTTGGTTTGACGAGCTGTTTTGCCACTTAAGCCAACTCAGTGGCTAGAATAAAAATGTTTTTTTTTTACTACTGGGGTAGGAACCTGTGGGAGATGGAAGAAGATTCCAGACTTCAAAAGACCAACCCATGGCCACAGCGGAAATGACGGGACATAAGCTTACCGACCTCAAGACAAGACAATTAAAAGACAGTCATGCTCAGTCAGCTCGAAGCTTAAGACAGAAAAGAAGACGCTCATGTTAAACTCTATCATGTTCAAGACAGACAAAAAGACACTTGAAGGCTCAGCTTATCTCAAGACTATCCCCAAAAAAATTCCATCTCATACCTCATGTTAAAGTCCCAATGAGCCCTACCTCACGCCTCCTCGATTGGTCGCCAACGATGCCCCCTCCCTTTACCTCTCGCCCTTCCCTCATCCTCCTCCCCCTCTTCCCGCCTCCCTGCTGCCCAGTGGGCAGAGAGTTCAGCGGGAAGAGGAGAAAAAAGGGAAGGAAGAGTAGGGGTCGAAGTGGTGCCGGCGAACAGGGAAGGGAGTGGTGCCGGCGAACCAGCCGGAGAGGCGCGCTGTAGGACTCCTACCTCCCCCACTCAAAGACCTTAAGGGAAAGGCAGCAAAGAAGGAGGAGAGAAATAGATCCTCGCCGCATCATCGTCCGTCCAGTCGCACCATCATCACTAGGGTTTGCAAAATCCCGATGTCTTTTCAATCCCGGGATTGAACAGCTTTTGAAAGATCGATGCGTGACATGTTCCAACACATTCTTATTGAATCAATATGATCATAATTAACCAGAAAAGAATTTATTCAACAAAATGTTCAACAAATGCGACATAAACAAGGAATTATCCAAATGCAAATCAACAGACGCAACAATTAATAATTGTATTACTCAACAAATTATTCAACTAATTATTCAATGACGTGAAGCATATAATTCAGTGCAGTCATTCAACGATCATTCAACAATTATTATTCAACATATAATTCAGTGCTGTTTGGAATCAGCTTTAAGAAACGTGAGAGCGTTGATAGTTCCACCGCTCATTCGCGTTTTCAGTTTTGAAAAAAAGGAAAACGTTGAGAAAGCACGCTCGCTTTCGACATTCGTTGCTGGAATCATTTTGACAGACGTACAATTTTTCATATCCGATGCCATTTCCTTTATCTCTTCGTACAAAGGCGTTCCAGAGGTTCTCTGCTCTTCAGGTCATTGCTTCTTTTACAGCTTACGGAACTTCCGGAAATTTCGGGGTTCAGCATCAATTCTATATTCCTTGAGAGAGGTATATCATCGTCTAAAAGAACAGATTATTATTATTATTAAAATTGTTATGATTACAGTTATAAATTTTCACTACTTCGTAACCTGATCAACAACCTTTAATTGTATTTTGCTTGAAATGCTTTCCAGGATGTGGACGCTTTTTTGAGGGAGCGCAACCGATATGCATAAAGCTTTAAATGAAAAACTGGCGAGTTTACCGGACGAAACGGTTCGTAGTAATGTTTATTTGGGGGGGGGGGGGGGGGGAGGGCAGGGGCAGAAAAATAAATTGCGATATTTTGTTTGTCTGTTGTCTATTCCACTGATTATCTCAAGTTGACGTTGTCATGATTATTATCACCACTACGAGCATTTTTTACGTATTCGTTCTCATTGTTTCCGCTGACATTTCTTTTAATTATTGTAGGAAGTTTATTGTGGACACGAATATACAGTAACAAATTTACGTTTTTACGTAGCAAATTTACAAATAGTAATATAGTTTTTATTGATAAAGGTAGATCAAATAGTAATATAGTTTTTATATTTGATCCAACTACTACCACCATGCGCCTTATAAAAGAGGAAAGTTTCCAAGAATAGTGCTTCCGTTTGTTCGGATTGTTTGACGGTACTTCAATCGCACGAATTGTTCATCTGCGGTTTCTCTCTGCATCGCAAGCACATTCCTTTATGTGTGTCTGTTGTAGGCTCTCTTCTGTTTCTAGGGGTGTGAAAACCGCTGACGCGCATTGCTCTCTCTCTGTCTTCATGCTGCTTTGGTACACGCCCATTTTATGGTTCGTCTCAGACCGTCACCGGACCTCAATTGAAATCATGCCAGATCTTAATAAGTCGTGAAATGCCACAATTCTAAGCACTTGCGCTTTGCTACATGAATTTATTTATCTGGATGAATATGTTGTGAAATGCTCAAGTTCAAATTATTACTTATGGTTCTGTGCGTTTAACGGTAGAAAGTCGAAGCGTTTTCAACGTTCATTGTGGCTTCGTTCTGCTCGAAGAGACCCGTTACTATACGATTGTAAACTGTGCATATTACTGTTGCAATCGTTCTTTAGTGTCGTTCGAATTGCGTGTAGTTGACGTAGTTCCTGTGGGTCATTCAAAATCGTAGTTCAGGTGGAATAAATTGCTTGAGAATGGAATGTGAAGAAGATGCCTATTCAAACGCCGCATCTCCAATTCCGGCTCCTTTTACTGCAGAACTTGAAGACCATTACGATGGACCACCGTTATCACCAAAATCCGAAAAATATCGTTTGAAAACGATTTGCTTGCAGCAGAAATTCGATTATATTCATTTGGTTAGCCAATTCTTTGCTTCACAATGAATAATTTCAGTTTGATTCGACAAGTAATCAAGAGTGAGAATAAAACTGCTGATCAAATGAACTGAAACAGCACCAACCGTTTAGTACATACATTGAAATGTATTGTCAATTCTGTGCATCTGAAACATATCATACTTACTTGCGATCCACATAAAATTCTATCGGTGCCACTATTATCATGTGAAGTCTTGATTTGGTGACATAATACAATAGTAGAACTATTTCAGACCAAGTTGTTAATAACAACAATTATTAATGTTAGCTAATAATTCTTATTACGAATTGCTATGATGATTAATTTCAGAGTAACAACCGATTAAGAAATCGTCTCTATCACATTAAAAAAGAGATCAACCACTTGAAACGTTTAAAGAGGTAATTTCTTCTCGAATTTGCACATGTTTCGCAGATGAGTTGAACGAAAATTTGTTGATGATTTTCATTGTCGGAAGTTGGAGAATTTTTCAATTTCACTCTTTAGTCAGTAAAACTGGAGCGGTCGATTTTCTGAAGTCCAAAAAAACGAACTGAATTTTCAGAATTCTTTGTCAACGATTGCTGATGTTTGGTGATCGCTTTATGGATTCTTGCTTGGAAATCCCTGACAGTGAACCGACTCAGTCTGGTATGGATAAGGTTATTGGTGATGTGGCTGCAAAAGTCGCCGCGACAAAGAAGCGTAAATTTGAGACAAAACGAATGGTACTCTAACATTTACTTTACCATTCATATGAAATGAATCCAAAAAACGAATTCTGTTTTCGAGACGCCTAAATTGTGTAGCTGCTGCTTCACTGAGTTCCTTGGCTGCATTTGGTCTATATTTTTGAAGCAACGAATTAATCTAATCAGTGATCAGCGATTTTTTCAAATCGAAATCTTAATTCGAGTCATTGGGAGATTTTATTTCTTGTTCATCATGATGGTATTGTATTATTATTACTAGTGTTGTTATCATTTTCGTATCGAATTAACAAAGTGATATTTTTTTCAGAATGATGATGAATTTATATCAATGGAACAGAAGGCAAGAAATAGCATCATATCAATAATCGATTCTGTTATAACTGAGTCACATGAAGAACGAATGCGCGCCCACAATATTCATAACAATAATACTAACAGAAATAAAGACATTAACGCAAATCAACAACTGCTCAATTCTGCATCAAAAACTCCGCGTAACAACAGCAGTATAAGCAGTGTTAGTAATAACACTAATAACTTCCCTAACATCAAAAATACCTCTAGCAACAGTAATGTTGTTAGTAACCATCAAAATGGACAAATTGCGACAATAAACGATGTGCATCTTCTAACCAGGTGTGTATCTGAATCTAACACTTCACCAGGCACATCGACATTTTTGGACAACACGGATACGGCGGTGAGTATTGAGTAGTATTTATTTATTGTTCTTTTGTATGCTACTGCATTGTTGTCATTAATATGGTTCTTATCAAGCACTTGTTTCCTTTTTCAGTCTGATGCTGATGGTCGCTCAATAACAGAGCGTATGTTGCGACCATCTTCAATCGATCATTTGTTGCCGTCCGAGCCTGACCCAGATCCTCAGGAAGATCCAGAAGATGTTTTGACAGGATTTGGAGAAAATTTAGAAGAAAATTTCATGGCGATCGATTGAAATCACGCTCAAAATTAAACACGTTTTGTTTGTACTGATGCTATGATGAATAATTCGAAGAGCAGTGGGAATTGTATTAAACTAATATTGTAATATATAGATTTATGTTATTTACTAAAGGATCATATGTTCGTTTGTTTATAACGCCATTACGGGTTTTTATGATAACTTTATTGTCGATTTGTTAATGCGTTTTTTATTGTATGAGTTCAAACTCTATTGAATTTAATTGATCGATTTTTTTTTCTGCATTTGCCTTCCCATGAAAGCGTTATTCTAATATTATTGTTCTTGTTATTATCACTTTTATTATTATTGTCATAGTTATCGTTATTATTTTCACCGTTTGTATTGTTATTTTTCAAATTGTTGTTCTCCTGTTGCTCATTGCATGGAAGTTATCAACGTAATCAGTCAAATTATCGTTTAAAAGAATTTTTTGATTTGTTTCTCTGTTAATAAGGTGCAGTTGAAAGCCGACGGAATTCGTTGTTGTAATTCCGGATGTTGGTATTTATTGAAAGTCGCGAATTTTTGAAACACAGAATTCGGTCAGAATCCAATCAAATTCTGGTCGAATGATGACTACGAAAATTCTTTCGGTTAGCAGAAATTATGAAACGATTCATTCGTTCATTTGGATGGTTATTATTTTCAGTGTTTTTCTTTCAACTATGGTCGTATCTATACATAAATGTTTTTTCTTTTGTCATTATTCTTACTGTCATTACCATGTTTTTCACTACAGTCAGTTTGTGAAAGGTCTTTCAGAATAAAGTAATAAAACGTTATCTAATCGCTGCTTGTTGGTTGCTTGGCGATTCATGTGTTTCTTTTTTTATAATGCTATTTAGTGTATGTATTATTCAATTGTTCATTTTATCGGTTTTGAGTACCGACACTATTTGAATGTTATAGGGTGCGATATTTCACTTAAGCTTTCATCAGTCCCGACACGAAGTCAAGAAACATTCTGCAGTATTTATCTCTTTCCTTTTCCAGTTAGAAATTAATCACTTCTTAGCTTCATTCGTAACTCCGTTCTTTTTTCGTTACAAAGATGATGGTAGTAAAAGCAGTATTGATGATAATAGTAAAGATACTGAGGATAGTGTTTACCAACTTGAACTGTTATCATTATTATTAATTATAATTACATAATGTATAACGTTATATGATGAGGTTTACACTGTGTCGATTAACAAAGTCAGTGTCGTCAGCTATGCGTATTGTACCAATACCAGCCTTGACGGATAATTATATGTATCTGTTAGTGGATGAAAGCTCTAAGCAAGCTGCTATCGTCGATCCTGTTGATATTCCAGCTGTAGGTTAAGGATATTCATTATTATTATTACTATTGGTATTATTTTCATTATCTTCATTACCATATACAAATATCTGATTGTAGATACAATCTGCACTGCAAACTAGTGGCACAGAACTATCAGCTGCGCTCGTAACACATCATCATTGGTTATTATTTCTGTTATTATTACTGTTATTGTTCTTCATCGTGCGTTAATAATTATCATGCAGAAAATCGTTTACATTTTTGGGATATCAATAACCCTAACAATAATAGTGATTATTCTTATTGTTATATTTTTACAGGGATCATGCGGGTGAAACTGGTAATTTAGCCGATAAATATGACAGTCGTTTACCAATTTATGGCGGTGATGATCGCATTTCCAAACTGAATAATAAAGTGAAAGATGGTGATACGTTCAAGGTGACCTGTTCATTAATACTAATGATATTGATCGTAAGTTGCTATTGAGCGTAAGTTCCAGATTGGTTCATTGCATGTAAAATGCATCTTCACACCGTGCCATACCACCGGCCATATTTGTTATTTTGTCACGTCCGAAAACAGCGATCAAAAAGTAGTTTTCACTGGCGATACTCTTTTTATTGGCGGTACGTCATAACTGCGAAAATAACAATAGTAGCAGTTATTATTATTTTTTGTTATTATTAATTATTGTTATTATTATTAAAATTGTTATGATTACAGTTATAAATTTTCACTACTTCGTAACCTGATCAACAACCTTTAATTGTATTTTGCTTGAAATGCTTTCCAGGATGTGGGCGCTTTTTTGAGGGGAGCGCAACCGATATGCATAAAGCTTTAAATGAAAAACTGGCGAGTTTACCGGACGAAACGGTTCGTAGTAATGTTTATTTGGGGGGGGGGGGGGGGGGGGGGGGGGGAGGGCAGGGGCAGAAAAATAAATTGCGATATTTTGTTTGTCTGTTGTCTATTCCACTGATTATCTCAAGTTGACGTTGTCATGATTATTATCACCACTACGAGCATTTTTTACGTATTCGTTCTCATTGTTTCCGCTGACATTTCTTTTAATTATTGTAGGAAGTTTATTGTGGACACGAATATACAGTAACAAATTTACGTTTTGCTCAAAGTGTTGAGCCAAAGAATGAAGAGGTATCAAAAAAACTTGAATGGGCAAAAGCGAAACAAAAAAATCACGAGCCAACCATACCGTCAACAATCGGTGATGAAAAACGTTTCAATCCATTCATGAGAGTTTCGTACGTTTTATTTATGATTCTTGTTATCATTTTTATTATTCTTCTCATACTAACAACAATAATAATTGTTATTATTGGTATCATTATTATCTTTATCATTATTTTCAAGTTTGTAAAAAAAAGCTTGATCAGTCGTAATTTCCAGCAAAAGTGAAGAACTGCAAAAGTTGGCAAAATCAACGGATCCAATCGCAGTTATGGCGTTAATACGTGAGATGAAGAATAAATTCTCTTGAAGTACGTGATTGTACCTTGCTCATTCTGTCAATTCTCGTGACTGATTTTGTGGAGTGTTGACCGAGTTCTATCTATCTGTAGGCGATCAGTCAAAGCCCAACCATTTTCTGTCTGTCCGATGCGGCCAGTAGCCATTGATTTCTTTGAGTTGGCCAGTTGATTAGGGTCTCTCTCACTCGTACGTCAATTTATTTTGTCGCGAATAAATACATCATGCATGACTGTTTCTTGTTAATACATATCAATCAGCGTTTCTGTTTGAAAAAGTACATTATATTCAACTCTTACTGTATGCACATCTCTCATGTCCCATCAGGTTAGTTTTGCAAAAACAGCTCTCAACTCAGTTTCAAAACTCGAACATAACGTTGTCGATACGGACTCAGAGAAGAGAAAGAGAAAGAAGGAGCGTTTTAAGCACAAATAAACGTACGATTCGAGTAAGAAAACTTGCATGCAGTACCGAAATACTCACCCGACTTCTTGACTCATCCGCTTGAGTTGCGTTATGATTCGATGAATGATTATTGAATCAGTCTCATCTTTAAACCTACTTAAGGTTTAAGTGACGCCAGAATTCCGACTTCGTGTAAATCTAAGAGGTTATACTTGATGTTCTTTTCAGCCATTCAGCCAACCGCTTCATATGGTATTACAGCAGAATGGATCGAAACCATGCAATAAACTAATTATATGACGTCTTTCTGTGACTGTCCACATCGTTTATTGCAGTAATCGGTAACCAACCGATTCTCATTCCTAAATTTTATATAAAGGCCGCACTTTGGAGTTGCGAAAATGGGCTAAATGAGATCCGAATCGAACCAATTTCCAGTTGGATAACAATTATTAGGACTAGTTGCGTTATGATTTGATGAATGATTATTATGAAGATCACAACTGCTATTATCTGTACAACAAGGGTCGCCACAACAAGCATCTCTGATTCAATGATCCATATCAAAGCTTTCATGAAAACGCATCATTTTTTTCTGTAATATTGGTAGTGGTGTAAGACAGAGGACGTCGAAGAACAAATATTCTGTTGATTTATTGATAAACGAAAAGCGTTAAATTGTAATGGTAACGGCATTTACGAGTTTTAACATACACGCAACTGCAAAATGCACTCTTTACGACGCCAACTTTTTACAACAAATGCTAGAAGAAAACAATCAACGGCATTCAACAATAGTAACTGCATGCGAATGAAAGGTGTTAATGGATCAACGAAAAAGTACCATTGACAACTCCAAATTTCGAAATGACCTATGTCCAAAACTAGTCTTATACTTACGCTTAGATTTCAACTCGAGCTCCGGTTAATTTTCCACTCAACAACAATGTTCGAGATTATTTCAACGAAACAGTTAACAAATCCCGGGGGTTCGGGCCTGCATTAGAACACACAAATGCTACGTTAGTTCAAAACGGCTAAACCGGATACAATCAGTAAGTGGAAATCTCTTTATGCAATCACAGCAAAGAATCACAAATAAATGAAACAATGAAAATAGTGACGATTCGATCAAATCAATGACAAATGAAGCGCACTGACTCGTCTTGTTTTCGAGGTGATATATTAATCGAGATAGTTCTTATACAACTGAGCAATTGAATTTCATCTAATACAAGCTTACTGAATTTGAAAGACGTTCCAATTATATGCACACAAATACATGAATTTATATAAACAATTCAGAAATATGCATACCAAGAAATAATTACAGAAATGTTATTATCACCGTTTTTGATTATAAACAAATCACCAAATGAACTGTAACAAATATGAGCGAATTAATTAATAAACATCGAACAATAACGGCAACAAATCAATAATCCAATTATAATGCATTCAGTATGAACTGACAATTCATAAATGCTTACCACTGTTGCTTAATCATCATGAACTCGTGAAGCGAACAACTGAAAAAGAATTACAAATAATTATTTCATTACATCACATTTATTGCCATCAATTGTACTACCGTGCATACAATATTATAATTACTGTTGTTACTATTCTTACTATCATCGTTATCATATCATGCAAGTGACAATTATTACACAGAAGAAGATTAACCTCATCGAAAAGGGTCCAATTTAACGCAGACATAAGTGTCCGCCTAGTAGCTCGTAACCAAAATCCATTGAAAAACGCTACTAAACCACCACGCTGAAATAATATTATTCACGCGACAGTAATAATAATAACACTGATAATCAATAAAAAAAAACGAATGACAATAACCATAATAATAAAAATGTACCGAATATAAATGACTGGCAACGTGAAACATTGAACGATATTTTAACGGATATAGCTGAACATGAGTTTTTGTGATGTCAAATGGTTGTGTGACAGCACATGCCATCAAACCTGCTAAAATGCCACTTCCAAATCGAGTTACTGGTTTGTGAGCATGTTTCTCTAAACAACAATCATTTAGCCGCAATAAACATACCAAAAATATTTTTGGTAATGAATGTAAAATGTATAACAAAATGCTATCAAATGAACCTCTTCCACTCAGTAATTTTAAATGCTGCCGATAGAAGAGAAGATATAGTCCTGAGAAGGGTGCATCGCGCATTAATGTTGGCACAATCCCTTTGAATAAGCCTACAAAACATTATATTTATTAATGTTACAATAAAAATCATGATAATAATAAACAATAATGACTAGCAGTGAATGCATGAACGTTTTGAATATTATGACGAAATTTAGTTCCAAAAAATCCGAACCTCTAACACCCCCTTGTTTGATAATATTCGATGCTGCTGATGAAACGCTTGAATCTCTGTAATAGCTACTCTGAAATAATGAACAGAACAAAACTTTCTTCGAAATACTGATAAAAATGATGACGATAATAATAGTATTATTGATGAACGTGGTAAACGATAATAACAATAACCATAAAATTCCGGGATATACCCATTTTGAAAATGAGTCAATATGAATGAAAAGTTACTTTTAGATGTTGTGGCTTAAGAATGCGTAGTATTGGTACGTGATTTATAATAATAATAATAATAATAATAATAATAATAATAAATACCGGTAGTGATGAAAATACTGTAAGTAGTAGTGGTGGGATGGTTCAGGAAACAGATACATGAATAACGATGTCAATGAAGTGAATAAGATAAAGGGAGGATAATTTTGATAACACCACTTAGTGTTATTAGTTTCATTAGCATAGTTCTCTTTATTTTATTTCATGCCGTTCACTTGGTTATCACCAGTGATAGATCGGTTTCCCAAAGCACCCCGTCATCATCACCAGTACTTATCATTATCATACTCGTCGACAAATCACCATACCAACAGTGTGCATCTATAGGTCACAAATAACTTGTCACTGATATTCACTTACAACAACAATTATTACCACTAATTCAACAAACAAAAATAACCTCAAATCGCGTTTTAATAACAGTCGCTGGCATGAGCAACATTACAGCCACAGAACGTGAAATAGCACCTAATAAAAAATTATTTACATTCTCATTTTTTGATTTTGGAAATAAATCTCTGCCCACTTCTAAACAACCAAAGTAAACAGCCACACCAGGTACAATTCGGAGGAGTGTCTGCAATTAATACTATTATTATATCAATTAATAATTATAAATTCCATAAGTATCAATATTATTGCAAAGCAACAAACCGGAACAATCCCTCGCCACAGGTCTTTAACTCCATGTTCACCAACAACTTGGGCCGTTCTTTGAAAAACATTCGTTTTACAGACGGCATCTTGCTGCGATAATGTTTTTAAACGATCAAGAGGTTGCAACAAAACCGAACTAAAATAAAACCCTGTACATAATAACAACAGCAATAATAATAATAATAATAATAATAATAATAATAATAATAATAATAACGAAAACAATAATAATAGAAAACTAATACTCATGAAAATAAAATAGATGAGCAGCGTTATGCGGACCTACAAAAGCCGGACACTGTGCCGAATGCAACTGATGAACATATGGCTAAAGTGATGGTTTTCGCCGATTGCTCGTCTTTTCCGGGAGGCGCAGCTCCCATCCAGTAGGCAAAACACAAAACAAACACGGACGAAACTGAAATTAGAATTCACAACTGGTTGAAACACGTTGATATAATCTTGGTTTGGCACAGTGCGAAACAACTGATAAACATTCATTTGTGCATAAGTTATAGGAGTGAACTCGAGCAAACAAAACTTCAAATTAATAAGGATTCAGACGCGACGAGTGAAACGATGTAATAATGATGACGACTTAAGCAGTTTTTTCAGAATCTGAACGCCTGAATATAGAAATATCATTATTGTAAATATGTCAGTATCACCATAGATGGTATGATGACTTCTCTAGTTACTAATACTTTAATTAGTTTTCTAACAAGATGTAACTTTCAAAGTCATCGATGAATTATTCATTAAGATTGAAGATTATAAATCGTAAGGTAGTGCACACTGAAAAAATGGGTCGTTCATAGCACTCAATAGGATAATGTTCGCATTATGATTGTCTGATAAAACTGCTTTTGATAACACTGCTTGTTAATCGCGAATGATGGTGCTGATTGCTTTGTGGTGTTGATGTTGCTGCGAATGATTCACGACAACGATGAGTTTCGATTACAGTTTTACACTCAATGGACTCACTTCTAAAGCGCAACACATACCAAAAACAACTGACATTTCATTGAATACTCTCAGCGTACTCGTATGGATTGCAATTGGACGACGATAAGGCCAAAATAACCATGAAGTCAATCTCATACAGCTTCTCAGATAATTAAGAAATGAGATTTGGCACAAAATTTTAAGCCAGCATAGAGAGTACAAGTTGTAACTCCTCAAGAAGTGATGTTCTTCAAGTAAAGGCGCTTAAATTCCCAGTTTCAAACGACTATGCTCGAAAGTACACACAATTTCCACTGAATTCAATTAATAAATACGTAACTTGAATCCAATATCGTTCTTGAAAATCACTGACCAAATCGTCATTCCTTCCTTGCTAGAATCAGAAAAAGATTTTAATCATTTTGTTAAAAGTTCGTTTCTGCATTACTTTCCCTAACTGAAGTAATGAAGATGCAACAAATGATTAAGTGCAAAATAATTTACAAAGGATTACGATACCATTAAATGATGACAATTGCGATAATAAATGAAGATATATCAATGATATTCAGACACATTCAGTTTCGATCAAGACTTTCCTGAGCAAACAGAACTTGGGGAGAAGATTTTGTTCAAAACAGATTGGCTTATCAATATCATTGATTATCAAGTCTGAGCTAGGCTATCAATCTAATTGTTTATACAAATGAACATATATTTGAGTTTAAAGTGAATTTGGGGTTATCTGATTTAAATGCATTATGATACCATTAAATGGTTATTGATGAATTTGAATTCACATTTAAATTCATCAATAACCATTCAATGGTATCATAATCCACTGTGAATCCTCTTCATTGCCATCGTGTTGGCCACTCACTCGAACATACACAGATACGCGCCTCTCTACCTACACATCATCTTCCTGGACGAAACGACCATTGAATTACCACAAAATTCCTTGTGCTCATAACTCTTTCTTGAAATTACCGCTGTTCGATGTGCCATGATATTCATAGCCGTAGCAATACTTTGGGGTTGATACGGTGAAACTGTTAGGAATTCTCGGTGCTGATTTCATTTTTTTAAAACATCATTCCTCTCAAGTTAGTTAGTATTAGTTTCAGGTTCTTGTTAGAGCTATCGAAATCAACAGAATCAATGAACGAAATAACCGAGCTGAAACTTGCTTCAGCTCGGCTGGGATGCAAATGAACTGTTTTCGTATAATAGGTGGCTGCTTGCCAGACTGCATTTTAACTTGTCGTTGATAAATGATATCATATCAAAGACTTCATCAATGAATGAGCTAACCACTACCTCCTTATCTTCTCCTTCAATAATAGGCGAAAGAAAGTGATGAGCTCACGTGATCTAGGAGCTCCAATACGAAGATCATTAAACAGTGAATAATCAGTCAATTAACGAATCAATGAAGAAACACTTCCTTCTTTCTTCAACTCTCCCTCTTACTGTTCCGTACACGTTTAGATATCCATTTTGTCTTGTTTCCCCTTATTCAGAGTAAATGATTTTTGCTCATCTTTTTATCATCAAAACAAACGAATTTCTATCTCATTTTTATTCTGATTAATGAATGTCTTTATCTCTGAATTACTGATGATC